CGAGGCTTGAACTCGGGTGAAACTACCAGTGTTCGGCGACTTTAGCGTTCGGCCGCTAGAATTTAGGGAGGAACTGAACGTTAGAATTTGGTTAGGCTCTTTGAATACAGTAATGAAATTTCGGAGCACAACTGTCTGCGACACTCCCATAAACATGGTATATGTAGAGGTGGAAAAATAATAATAATAATAATAATAAAGAAACTTATTATTTGAATACTTGTATTTATTAGTAAACATTTTATAAAATTTATTTTTAATTTAGCGTTTATGAATTTTCAGAGAGTATGTCATTGGAGTATTTTTTCCTCTCTGGTAATTCAATGTAATTGAGTTAGTTTATGTTCTGTAATATCTTTGCTTATTATGTACATTGTCTTTTTTTATTAGTATTATTTCGTTCAAAGTTAGACAAAATTTCAGCATTACACTGAAATTACTTTGTGCAGAAAATAAGCGCTTTGAAAGAAACAAATGCAGGGTTCCATTTGTAAAAGATACAGGATTACTATAAAGAACACTTTCTGTAAAAGTAATGTTATAAAATTTTGCCTAGTTTTGAATTTAAAATTATCATACTTCGGTTGCAGCAGCGCAGAATCAATAAAGATTTTATGAGAATACAGCAAAGCATCTTTTTAGAAATGCAGTTATAATTTTGCTATTTTGTTTTTTATAGGAGAGCGAAGAAAAAGACAGGGTGCTAAATCCAGTAAGGGTACCTTGTTCTGTTTCATGTTTAGCGAATCCGCTTTGAAATGAAGGGCCAAGTGGTAAAGTCGCTGAACACTAGTAGTTCAGTTCAAGGCTCGAATCCCATGAACAAGCTGGCTGCATGGGTGTTTTGTGTGGTTTTACCCATGTGTAGCATGTATACAATCCAGTTTCCCTTAGAAAGTCCTCCACAAATTCATCCCTGCCCTTAGGCAAATAGCCATTGAGGCTTTGCCATAATCACATAAACCAAATCAAACCTCTCCGAGACAACAATTCAGTGTTCCAGATCATTTTAGGCTTCGGTCATGTTAGATCGTGCCGATGTTTATATTTTCAACAATACTGGTTATTTTCAAAAGTGGCCATCATAGAAAGGTGATTACCAAAAAGTATTTTTACAATGCTTATTTATACATTATGCATAAATATATTTTGATTAGTCAATCCATTTTCTATGTTTATATATATATTATTAATGCTAAAACAAAAATTCAATTTTCAATACTCTTCTTACCATTTGTTCCTCAACAATGAAACAGATTTATTCATAGCAAATCCAAATGCATCCCTACTAAAAGACGATATATATATATATTATATATCGTCTCTTCCGTATGTATTTATAATATACGGTCAAAAGTCGTTAATCCGGACTCATCGGGATTTCGATTCCGGATTATCAATTTTTCCGGATTATAGATCATCACTTTAAATCTGGTAAGATGGCATGCAGAAATTACAAAATTAAAAATATGAAACTGTAATTTATGAAATAAAGAACAATTATGATCTAAAGGGTATCAAAATTTACAAAAAAAAAAAAAGCTTAATATTTATTTGTTTTACTTTAATAAACATTTCTTTCAATGCAAGTTGTTTAAGTTGCTTCGTTTTTTATGTGATAATACATTCTCTTTAACTCTATAAACAGACATAATTTCTTGTTCAGTTACAAACTTCCGCTGTTCAAGCCCTATAATTGCTGTGTCGAGAATACCGACTAATTTGTCAATCGAAATTTTTTCGTTTTCAATAACCTCTATTACTTCTTCGCTATCGGAAGTGAATTATAATGACAAGGAATTTGATTTAAATCATATCAAAGATGGAGTACATCGAGATGAAATACTACATTTAGTAAGGAATTATAAGCCAAATAAAATAAAAACATATGCTCTGAAGATAAGGATAGTGCTGACAGATCAACTTCCAATTCATTTGCGCGCCGCAGCATTAAAAAATAAACACACATTATGTTTTAGATAAACAAAGGATATGCCTTATTCCATTTTTTGCAGCAATTCCACTTTTGTTTAATGGACTTCGAAATAACTTTTGCTTTGTAGATCCTTTACATATTAGTAAATATATATCGAAATTCTACTTGACATAATCGAAATTCAAGCTTACTTTTATAAAATTTGCTCTAACAGTCTGCAAAAAATAATAAGCCGAATCCAATTCGAAGATTAAGGAACAACGCAATCTGCAACATTAATTGAATTAGATAATTTTAGCTTAGCTTATACCGTCCGTTTTACATTAAACACGCATTCGTAAACATATTTTGTGCACGCGCACACGCATATTCACAGCCGTAAAGGTCTTATGCGCATGCATCAACGCGACGCATGTGCAGAAAGTTTGTAGCTTTGAGGTCCGGATTATAGATCATTCCGGATTATGGGTGTCGGAATTAACGACTTTTGACTGTATATCACTATTCTAGATGTATAGATAATGTATATCATTATTCTAGATGTATATATAATATTTCATTATCCAGATGTTATATAATACATATCATCTTTTTCGCTATATAAATTAATAATGCTAAAATAAAAATTCAATTTCAGCCTATTTCCCATTTGTTCCTCTAAAAAGATGATATATATGTTAGATATTGTCTTTTCCGGATGTATATATAATATGTATCATTTTACTTTACTAAAATATAATACTGAATTTTGTAATTTTCGAATTTCTTCTCCCTTATCATGTATTATCAGCTGTACTTTATAAACCTGATACCCCTTAATTATCTGCTGTACTTTATAAACCTGGTACACAGCAAGGCAATTTGATTTTAAGCATTTCAGTATCAAGTGAAATCTTGAAACTGATCATTCATCGTTAACACTTGCACTTTGTGTATGTTACTTTATGATCGTTAACATTTTATGTAGTTTTCATTCAAAGCGGAACTCGGATAATGTGCCGCAAATTATTTTCACACTAGGTTTTTGCGCAAATAATATACGCCCTGCTAGTGTTTTTGTAATAAAATGCATGTTAGTAATCGATTTCTAATTTCCGTTACATCTTGATATTGCTGCCAAAGATATTCCATCAAGAATAGTATTTTTTACTATGGATATGTGTATAGATACATAAACTATTTCTCCGTGTACTAGCAAGATTTGATAATGATTTATCCACTTTTGAATTAAAAAATACAGATAGGAGAGTTATACGATTTTATAACACAAGTAAAAAATATATGTAAAGCTCTGTATTTTATACTTACAGATATTTATAATATTATGTGTATCCTATATTTGTATACACATATCATCAAGTATAAAATCATTTATATATAATTTTTATGTAGCGATGAAATAACCGAAATGCTTAAAACCTGGTATTTTTAAAAACCGTTTTCTTCCGTAGAATAACAGCAAATTACAAAACATTATGCAACATTAAAAAGGCGATCCAGTGTCATGAACAAATTTTGCGAAATGAAACTGCAACTTCTTATATCTTTCAACACAAACGTGGAAAAGTTCTAAAAATGTACCCTGCAGTCTTTGAGTCACAGACGGAGGAAATGACAGCAGGTTTTTTTATTCAACTGAGGGGATGTGTTTAAGTGTTTTATGGCTTACTTACTTTTCCGTCAAACGAGTACAAAAGAAGGAAAGCATTGTTGCCACAGTAACAAGGCTGTAGGTAGTATTACAGATTTGACTCTTTATCGCTCAATGTTCGTAGCGCCATCTGTTTTTAAAAATCGACATGGGAAAGGGGTATTAAACCCTCTTAAATGAAGTATGAGCTGAACAGTTTTCTATAATCAGGACAATTTTTGTATTATCAGGGAAACCAAACAATTTCAAATGTTGTTGAGCCTCATGTGTAAAATGATTTTTCATTAATGTTTGCATCATCCATGCCTTTTATTTGCATGACAGATAATGGCAGAAATCTTTACCCCTTTAAATGCTTGAGGTTGTATATTTTTTCCGATTATGAAGTTTCCACTTTTGCATTCTGGTAGCATTTGTGCATGCTAGTTCTGGTGCCAGTTCTGGGCTTTTCTTAATAACAAATAAGTTATTCTTAATTCAAATTGTACTTTGGTCTATGAGTATCATTAACAAAATCTATTTTTTACATCTGGAAAGAAATTTTTGTTAAATTTCTCCTCCTCAAAACACTCAACAATTACAGCAAAGTTAGCTGAAGCTTGCAATTATCACCAAGCATAATATCATCATAAAAGATTATCTTTACTCTCTGGTATTCAATTACTAATATTACAAAAAATGCTTAGACATCACTATGTGAGTAATTTTTCAAATTGCCATGCAGTAATGAAAGCAAAAATAAGAAATAATGATTTGCCAGGTTGGCGTCAGGGATAGGTGTAAAATCAACAATATTTTGGGTTTGAGATGTTTTGCCAAACAAACAGACAGACAGCTATGGAACCAAATTATTGATCATACAGATTTATGCTAATAAATGATCAGTTCTTCAATATGGAGGCATTTTATTTAGTGAAATGAAAGTAAGAATAAAAACTGTTTACATGCTACAGTCTTAAAAAAAAAAAAAAAAAAAAAAAAAAAAAAAAAAAAATAATAATAAAACTTTTATATTTCTCAGAAATGTCAAATATCCATAAGTCATTAGCTCTCCTATCACAAGAAAAGATGCTCATGGTGCACCAAATTACACTCACAAGAAAGGGGAAGCTTTACCCCAATTTTGATGGAGAAAATTTCACAAGACAGAACTAAAGGCCTCCTACACCTCTTCTCATACCATTAAACCTCTCAAGAGGACTGGCTTGCTAGTATTTTAAATAACTTTGCGTCACATAGGTAATATTACACTTACAAACATTTAAACCTTCTCCTGGATTTGAATCAGAGCAATGATACAACAGCTAAACTCAATAACCACCATAACAATCATGTTAACTAGTAACTTAACAGTTAATACTAGAAACACTAGAATAAATTCAGATATATCATTATAAATAACTATCTACATACTTGCTTTGCACATCTTCAGGCATAAACTGTTTGCCATTCTTAGCATTTTTTGGTGGTGATGCACATAATAAGTTTGCAGCTAAATGTTTGACATATGCTTCTAAAATATCAATCACATTGGGTTGACAAGGTAACTTTACAAACTGAAAGAAAAAATTTTTTGTATAAAAACTGATGTATTGATGTTACAATGAGAATAAAAAAAATTCTCAGTTACATAATATCTTTTACTATAATCAATATGCAGATTAAAAGTAACAAAACCAATGACTGAAATTGTTGCTGTCACATTTATAATTCTTTAGGGATTTCAGTAGTACTTTAGATAAGTTTTCTCAACATGCATTTACTTAAAAAATACAAATAGCAAATTTTATAGGAAATAATTTTTACCACTTATATAAATTCCCCAAATACATACAGATATTCATAACATTAATTTTAAAAACAAAAATGTAGATAGTTTTAATAAATTATTACTTGTTATAATTACAATGACATTCAAAATATTTTTACATATGTAAAAACAATGATACCGCATAAAGTAATCTCAAAATATTTTTACATATGTAAAAACAATGATACCGCATAAAGTAATCAATCAGTATCATTAACTTCCTTACTGGAATGAGCAAAAATCAAACTTAATTATCATTATTCATTTCAATTTTTTACCTGTTTCTGAAAAGTATAGTTTCTATAATTTAAGATTTTACTTCAGTATTTATAGGTACAAAAGAGTTGTATGAGTCACTTATGTGGCACTACAAGAAAAATCTTAAAGAAGACAGCTATTGGTCACTTGGATACAGAAGTGGCAGATGGCTGAATACTTCAAGATAATTTAAGATCACAGAGAGAAATTTAAATACTTTGAAATTATTGCTATGAGCCCAAGATGAAATCAGAGAAGGAAAACAACTGCTCCTCAAGACTGCTTTCTACTGCCCACAGTAACAGAAATTTGACTGCTAGGCGGCTGAATTGACAGCTTGTACCTGCCAATGGAACTTTTATCATCATAGCAAAATGTGTACAGAAAGCTTAACGAGAAAGGCTTTTCTGTCAGAAAACACATGGCAGGGTTGCCACTCAAACAGGAGAATGAAATTCCCTGACTTTTCCAGGTTTTCCAGGTGTGTTTTAAGAAAATTCCAGTCTACCACATAGTGAGCGTTAAGTGAGCACAACTAACTGTTGGTAAACTGTAACGGAATGTGTGTTGGTAAATTAATTATGGTGCAACTTGATAACACAAAAACTTGCTAATTGCATATGACTTATATACATATATATAAAGTATATTACCCAAACAATTACTATTATGACTACAACAGGAGTTATTTTCCATTTTCCTCGATAACTTTCATTTACAAAAGAAATTAAATAAGTACAATGCATTCCATCTAAAATAAAATCAGAAATGAAATTTGTTGATTTTTCTGTATGAACTTTTAAACATAAGATTTTCTCCACCATTAATTGTGATAAAATTATGTCTTGAATGATATTAAAAAGTAATATACAGTACAAAGTCTGTAATCCGGACACGTTGGGACGACTTCAACGATTCCAGACTAGGGTTTTTTCCGGATTATAGAATATCCATTTAAATCTAGTAAGATGGCATGCAGAAATTATACAATTAAAAATATGAAACCGTAATTTATGAAATAAAAAGCAATTATGACCTTAAAGGGTATCAAAATTTACAAAAAAAAAAGAGCTTAATATTTATTTGTTTACTTTAGTAAACATTTCTATCAATGTAAGTTGTTTTAAGTTGCTTCGTTTTTTGAGCTAATACTTTCTCTTTAATTCTATAAACAGACAAAATTTCTTGTTCAGTTACAAAGTTTCATTGTTCAAGTCCTGTAATTGCTGTATCGAGAATACCGACTAACTTATCAATCGAAATTTTTTTGTTTTCAACAACTTTCTCCGTTACTTTCCTCACTATCGGAAGCGCGCATTGGTAAATTCTTTACTGGCTTTACGCACAAGCGTAGTGGACGTGAACATCAAACGCGCATGTGTAAGTTTGTAGCTTCGAGGTCCGGATTATAGATCATTCCGGATAATGGACATCCAGATTACGGACTTTGTACTGTACATAAATTCTGGAGTGGAAGTTATTGTTCACAAAATGGCAGTGCGGGGCCCATTTATCTTATTAAATAATATATATCCATCTTATTAAATAATATATAATTGGCAAACAATCACCTCAGTGATATTTCAACATTGCTAAATTCTGAAAGGTTGAAAAATCATTTTTTCCCCCTGATGCAAAACTGTTCATGTAAGTATACATAATATATGTTAAATGTAAAATTTTATTAGAATAAATACTAATGAAAAATAAGCAACAAATTAGATTTCTTGTTTTAACTTTGCAATTTGCAAGTCAATTGAAGAAACATCTCTGCTCAATTTTTGTTTTTTTGACTCCAAAATTTTAATCTGTGCCTTGTTCCTTTTGTCTAATAGTATTTTTTATGTTTATTATCACACAGTTTTTTGTCTTCGAGTGCTCGGTGATATGCACCACGAGCAGATCTGGCATATCATAACATATAAGGAGTTACATTAATATTAATCACACCTCCATTTACTTTTATAGCATCATAAACAGTTTGCACTGCTGTTAAAGAATTTCCTGCAGATTTTCCACCAACATATCATTATTAACTGAAAAACCACTTTCTACTATGGCATTGCCATGTGATAAAATTAGAACTAGTTTTACAATACTCCAAAGTTCTTTAAAATCTGAGTTATTAATCAAGTCCTTATAAAAATGATCAAGGTCACATTGCAGCATAATTAACAAAAGTATTTCTCCAAACACCCTTACTTCTGAATAATAATTCTTTAAACTGCACTTTTGATTTATCTGTAACTGTGGAATTTATCCATTCACTTTCATATATATATGCAATAACCTCTCCATCCTTTTCTCATAAAAATTCATTAGACGTAATGAGCTCTAATGAAGAAATGTATTTAACTAAGCTATATTTCAATGGGCTTCTTTCAAATTTTTTTATACCAGCTTAACCAAAAATGTTCTGCACCGAGTTCTGAATTCTCTTTTGTTAAGATCAAGATACTCCACTTTTAGCTAAACTCGCACCAGCAGCAATACCCACATCTATATCTGCAACATTAAATGTTTTGATCCAAACATCTATTTTGATCAGTTTTTCAGGAGGTTTTGCCTCTCGCAGTGTATCTCTTTTGACAAATTTGGAGAGAAGATGACTTAGCATACTATGGAAAGTTGTATATAGAAAGGGGCACAAAGGATCAGCTGTCTGAAATGACTTTAGAAATGGATGTATAACTCCTGCACCCGAAATAAAAAATGGGATTTTTGCCAAAAGTAGCTTATCTTTACACAGCTTCTCTCAGTCTTTTGAATGACACAGTTTTTGGTAGTTCGGATGATTCTACATATTTTTTCACACGAGGAAAAATATCAATAGCTCTCTCAGCAACAGGTATGTTTTCACACTATCTTACTTCCCAAAATTTTAGCGGAAAAGTCGTACAGTCAGTGATGGCTATATAGTCTGCTTGACGAACAGGACTCTCTTTAAATACTCTATGCATATTTTTAAATAATGCCCTTAAATTCCAGTCAGTAGCTTTATGGCCAGCTCTAAAGGCACCATGAACAACATTGCAAACCACAGGACCCAATATTATTTGGCATCATTATTTGCTAAATTTTCTTTTAAATCTCTGAGGAATTTAAGATTGACATTTGGTTCATTTAATGATATTTGCAGCAATTTCTTTTTACCTAGTTCTGTGGTTCCCTCAAAGATACTTCTCAGAAGGTTATTGGCAGATGCATGTCCCCAAAAAATTGACGTGAGGTATCTTGTACTGACTTCATTCATCACACTGTCCCAAAATCTAACAAAAAATTCCATTTGACCTCTCTGGACAATTCTATTTAACGCTTCATTGAAGCAAATTACAAATTCAGTGTTCTTAAGATCAGAAATGAGCATCTTTTTGAAGTATGGAGCTAAACCAAATGACACTAAATATGACATTTTTGTATGTCCCAGGGTCATAGCTTTAGCTTTATTGCTGTCATCAAACACTTTCTGGAACAGAACAGCAGCAGCATTAAATGCATTATAAGAAACATCTGAAGAAACAAATTTCATAGCCCACAGTAATTCCGCAGCAAAAACTTTGTCCTCAGGTGTGAACGCGTTTAAATTTGATGATTCAGCAACTAGTGCCGAAGACTGCTGTGTTTCAGAACTGCTTTTATCTATGGAGAAAGTTTTTGAAGTTCATCTTCACAAAAATGATTTTCTTATGTTTTACACTGTTTATGTGGCTTGTAACTGCTTTCCTTCCCATGGTACTAAGCATGATATTTTGTTGGCAAAACGTGCATCTTGCCATGTTAGGAGCTACTTCGATAAGGTTGGAACCATGGACTCCACTGAGGATTGAGATTAGAATCTGCCCAATCTGGATTAAAAAATATCTTTTTTTCAGACATTTTGCAGCTAAAGGAAAGAAAGAAATCTATTTAATATTTTAAAATAAATTCAAGCATTTTAAAATAAATTCAAGTATTAACTAATAAGAAATAAATTTAGAAGGAAAAAGCAACACTAAACAACATGAATAACATTTAAATAAAGTTAATTAATTGAAGATTAAAAAGTGAATTAGATTAATTAATGGTATTTTGCCAAATATAGTTATACTGAATGGTTAGCCATGATAACTTGCTATTACTGCAAAATAACAAGGCATTTATAAAAAAGAAAAATGTTTAAAACATTTTGTTTTGTACGAGCATCGGGTAAAGGCACAGCAAAATTGGAAATTTCAATCAAGAGCAGTATTGATTACTTATTTTTACTACATGAAGTGTATATAAAAAGAGGGGGCAAACATTTTAATACTTAATGTTTGTCTCTGAATTTGGCCAAGTTTTATCACCATTTATTTCTCAAAAATAAATTTTAAATGTGAATTATTTAAAAATTGAAACAATAGAAAACCGAATTCAGAACACACACACACACAAAACAAAAAAAAACCAAAAAAAAATGGGGGGAGAAGAATATTTTGCCAATTACAAAACAAAGTCAATTTTTTTAAT